TTGCGAATACATGGAAAGCTTCCACAGAGGTCTTGGAGAGGTTGTTTACTACAGCGTGTTGCCATCATGGTTCCAGACAAGTAACCTCGAATTAAGCTACGATTTGGTGGAAAATCTTCTATGAATTAAATCCCACTGCCATGTTGAAATGCAAGAAAGGCTTTTGTCGCAACTTTTGACATTCAATGGACACTCAGAATTTCAAAGGCTTGCCAATACAGTCCTCTAGTTGTCGAGCTTGATCTGCACAAAGCCTTCTCGCTTGCTGAAATTTACAGATATATGGGTGGACAGGGTGGGGATGCTCGAAGTGATAATATTCTTTAACGAATCCCCTATAACTGTATTCCCCCTTTAATTTGATATAATGCCTAAAAAAACACCCTGTAGGAGATTAGACTATGGCACAGATTGAGGGGGAGGGCTCAAGCAGCGTGCTAAATGTCGAGACCAGTTACAGCAGAAACCTACCACGGTAGATAAACACAACGTGAAGGAGAACCCATGGATGAACTGAAGGTTTTTTCGTTTGAAGATACTCTAAAAAGACCAGGGCTTTCCGACAGAATCCACAAATTCATGTTTCAGGAAAGAATTCAAATCACCAACTTGGAACTTTTTTTCCGCTTGAAGCTACTCTAAAGATCCACAAGCTCATGTTTCAGGATTTTCGTCTCTGGAATCTTTCAGCGCATTCAAGCAGCAACAAGAAACGCGTAATCTGCAACCTCCACTGGCTGTTTGTTGGGACCTCCACTGGCTGCTTTTTGTGGGCGCCAAGATAGATTTTTGCGGTGCACTCGGAGGCCTTGGACCTCCACTGGCTGCTCTTTGTGGGCGCCAAGATAGATTGTTTCGGTCACACTGTTTGTTCTCTTCCTGTTCTGTGATCTGCTGTTTTTTTTCCCTCTGTCTGTTCTGCTGTTCTGCCGTGCTCTGATCTGTTCACTTTTTTTGTCCTCCTGTCACTAAGTTGAGTCCTCTTGTAACTGTACTGCCTACTGACGGGTCTGACGGGTCTGACCGGTCGATGGGCGGGTCTGACCGGTGGATGAGCAAGATGCAGCCCGGCGGTTTGTCCTTAAGATAAAACAACCTACTGGAAGAGAGGGGAAAACACAAACACACGCACACACACACACACACCCACCCGCGCACACACACACACACACGCACACACGCACACACACACACACACACACACCGCTGCAAACAAGAAGCAGAAAGGAAGAAGCAAACAGCAAAAAGGCTGAAAGCAGCAAAAAAAGGCACAAAGCAAAAAAACAGAAATCAGCAAGCAGACCGTAGCCAGCAACATTAGGAAGCAAAAAACAGCAGGCAAAACGCAGGAAGCAAAACGCCGAAAGCAAAAAAGCAAAAACAGAAAGCAAGAAACATAAAGCAAAGCGCAGAAATAAAAAACAACAAAACACAAATCAAAAAGCAGAAAGCAACACACACAAAGCAGCAACCGGAACCAGAGCACGGAGCAAGAAGCAAAAACACACACCATCCATGACCTTAAACAAAAAAACTCTTCAAACAAACAGGATTCACGTCTCAATTGTACCCCAAATGCCAACTGTCCACAAGGGCCCACACTGCTGCAAACCACCGGTCCCAAACACCGGCAACCTCATGCCAAGGTACTGCTGCCACCAATTCGGGTAACCGACTGGTGGCCTGGCCTTGCGATTTGGAATTTAAGTTCGCCATGATCACCATGAATTAAGCAAGCTGCTGCGATCACGGCAATCCAACTCACAAACGCAGTTTTCAGGAATGCAGTCCTGTAATTGTTCAGGCGAACCATTGTGGAGCAAGTGCAGCTGCACCAGATTTTTTAAGCCGAAGAAACCTAGGGACCTAGAGAGACTAAGATGGCCTGAGGGCAGGGCTGTCTTTGATGTTCTGTGTTTCTTTTTTGATTTCTTCCGCTTCCGCCCTGTGAGCAAGAAGAGCTGGTGGTGGCAAAGTTGCACTACTCGTGAATCTGTGGCATGTCTGGTGGCTGAGGTATAGACTGGATGCTTCGCTAGCATCATCCTGCTGCCACACTTTCTCTTGACATTCATGCCCGAAGCACAACAAATACCAGAAGAACCTCTTCTGGATTTGCTTCGTGGCTGCTGATTTCTTCGGTTGGCCTGAAATTGGCATGCAATGTCTTCCAAACTCCGTGCTCCAAGCTTGCTATAGGGACGATACGAGCGAGACGCTGCTCGCTTCTGGCCAGTAGACCTGATGATTTTTGGCTTGAAGACATGCAAGACCAGAGACAAACTTGAATGAACAGAAACCACAAAGATACGCTACAAATCAGTACAGCATCTGGACTGCGCAGGTAGAAGGGTTTGGTTCAGGGCAGTATAGCCGTAAGCCTTGCCTGTCACAACTTTGGCTTTGATCTCTCCTGCAGTGCCAGCGGATCTCTGCAAGACATCTTGACACCTCAGGTTGCAAGATCCAACGCTCCACAATTTGTGGGGCGCTGATGAATCAAGCACACTGATCGCAGTCATCCCAACTCTGTGCTGCTAACGTGCGAACACACGCAGTACAGAACAACAGAAGGACAAAAAGCCGGCTCCTCTCGGCTAGTTGCGCAGGCTGCATCTCGCTCAGTTGCTTGTCCTGCTTGTTCAGACTTCCGCAAAGCATCTACGAGCACATGAAGCTGACGTGCGGCTTGCCATGCTATGAATACGTCCTGTTCAAAAATCAGTGCCTCAGTATTCTTGTTGTGCGCCAGCCATTTTGCACTCCTTCCTACAAGGTTTTGTCTAGCATCGCGCGGGGAAAGCTGAGGGTGGGAGGTATCCGACGTACGTGGATCCGATGATTGCAGCTGCTTGCCGCAAGTGATGGGCTAGTTGGTGACGATTACGGTGGCCAATGTGCGGATATGGGTGTTCTCGTGCTGGCTTCCCGGCGAGAGGTCAGCACGGATGAAGCCTCTCTCGTGGAGGCAGATGCCACAAGGATAGACCAAGAGATGAACGACGAGCTCCAACGCTGTTCCTCGGCCATGGGTTCGACGGAGTTCTGATGCCAAGGACAAGCTGCCGGCTGTGAAGCATCATTGGCACAACCTAGTGTCACCAGTGAGGAGCTGACCCGACCCCGGGCAAGAACAAGTGACAAATTCCTGAACCAGAAGAACGCTTGCTCCTCATAGTGTGAGGGTTCCGGTCTAAGTTGCATGGACTGGGGAAGCGGACTACAAGGTCTGACAAGCACATGGCAGGAGCTGAAGCCATTGCGGTATTACAGCCTCGTAGGTGCACGGTCCTATCCACCAAGAACTACACTTCAGTAAAGACACCCTCTGCCTGCTTCCATGGTGTGCCGTCTTCCGGCCAGATGTTCTTCGAAAAAGTGGAATGCGTAACATGACTGTGTTAACAACTGGTATGGCTTTAAATGTTTGCCTGTGTGAGTTCCATCTTCGGAAACGTGGCGAGATTCGCTATGGATTGTTCGCTCCTGCTCCACATGGAGGCTTAAGAGGCAACTTGCGTCATGCAACATGCCCCTGTAGCCCTGCGCACGGCGGAGATCTACAGCTGGAAGCTCTCAGAAAGCCTTCCGCCATTGAGCTGACCACTTAGTCAAAACCTTGCTTGCGCAGCGTAAAGAGTGTGTAGGTGCTCGATCCTTGTACTGTTTGTTTGGTGTTGACTGGAGACGGCTTTTGGCTATTCGTGGCGGAGCAACCACCTGAGCGTGGATCATGGGCTCTCGATGTGCCGAGCTGCTACCAGTCTGTACACAAGTTGATTGACTATGAACCATATAGTCGTATGGTACAGTAGTAGCAGCAGTAGCAATAGCACTAGTTGGCAAGGACGCAAGAAACTGATGCGCAAGAGTAGATGCTTACAGTAAAGGCACCAGCGCTACTGCAGAGCGTTTCTGTTGGCAGGCCTTGGCATCTTGGCCATGTGCAAGGCCAACAACACCTGCTTTCAGGGCATGTGCTGGAGTCCCTTTTTCCTTTGCCAAGCCCAAGAGTAGGCTACATCCAACCTGGCCCTTCCCAGCCTTCGCCCATCCGCGACGCTCGGCGCTGGGCAGCGCAACGCTTTGGTGCGGCACCTGTTTAGACCAGGAGTCCATCAAAACCTACCGCAAAGGCATGAATGGCATGAGACTAGCTGGTGCAGTGACCAAGCCGACGGCCGGAGTCTTGCAATGCGCGCATCTCCATTCTAGGTTACGTTTGTGGCAGCCACGCCTTTCTGCATGGCAGCCATGGCCGCCACAGTTCGAGCAGCTGCTGCCTGGCGCATCGAAGAATCTGAGCAACGACAAGCTCCCATGGGCCGTGCCTTGGTCGGATGATGCCACTTATATGACAAGGAGGGACGGGCAATGTACCCAATGATAAAGCTTGTGTCTTTGAAGCTTGAAATCTGCACCGCATTCTGTTTTTCTTGTCTAACCTGCGTTCTTAGCAAAACGGATCTGTCCTGCTCCCTTCAGGGGGTCTTTCCTCGACTGAATTGTACAAATGTGGAACCAGCCTCCGGCACTTAAGACAAACAGATCTTCCTGATCAGGGAACCAGTTACTTTTCAGTTCTTTTGGAAAACAGGTTTTTGTCTGCCTTGCGAATGCCGGAAGCGTGTCAACATGTTCCCAGCAGAATATGCCTTGCCCCATGCTGTCTGAGGCCAATTCCAGCAGGTGTGCTGCATTGGCAGCAACCATCACGTTGTCAATGACTGCGCTTGGCTGTTGCCAAATTTTGAGGACTGTGCAGGTTACAGGTGCAAAGCTGAAGAGGAGGATGCAAATCCCCTTCTGACTGAGATGGTCAATGAAAATTCTAAATGCTCACGCCCTTTTTTACGCGTGGGAGCAGGCTCATGCACACTATGACCTGCACGGGTACAAAGAATACGAAGCAAAAAGGTGTAGACCTATTGGACATGTACGTGCCACACGTCATTCGTTTCACAAAGGTGCACGGTGCACGTATATGTCCGAGGCATGTGTTACTTTCTTTGACACATGCCCTTGTCAGCGAAACTGCTAGAGATCTCTGGAAAATCCATCTTGCACAGTGGTTGATGGCGGCTGAAGCCTGAGCGCTGCTAATGTATCGAGCTCTGCCTAGGAAAGAGGCAGCGCAAACAGAAGCCCAAGAAGCGGTTGTTGACCTCCCAAATGATGGCGCCCCTGGCCCAGCTGATGTTGCCTGCAACTCAGCTCTGCATGCATCTGTTCAAGTTTCAGGGGTACCTACGCGAGAGTAAAGCTTGCAGTCGTCTCTTAGCTCAACAGCGCATGCTAGTATGATGGCCTCGTCTACAGGAGGACCGTTGTTGAACAGGTGATGCTGTTTTGGCTGAGCAGGTGCAAGCGTGCTGCCGCCAGCTGCTGCTATGGTCGCTGTCAGTTGATGCTCGGAGCAGTTTTGAAGGGATGGGAGCCCCCGGCATCAAGAGCCCAAGCCACTGCCCTGTGCCCCTAGGAAACCCAGCTTTGGGTGCCTCGATCTTGGGCCTGGGTGAACAGAATCTGGTGGCTCTTCCTCAGCTCAGAGTGGAGAAGCTTGACAATGCTGTATTGAGATTCAGTCTGGCACTGCGTGCTCGTTCTTATCACCGCTGCAGGACTCTCTTCCCGAGGCACCAGCTAGCTGGATGCTTCTGCGCTGTCCATCACAGGGGACTTGTTCCAGCTAAACAGGTGAGGCTGAGACGTGTTGTTGGTCAGACAAAATCTGTCCCACAACCAACTTGCCACTGTAGAAACTCCAGAAGAATAAATAACCTCGAAACTTACACTTGCAACCCCTTGACCACGTCAGCATTGAGCAAGCGGACCTGCACCGCATGTCGCATGATAGAGTCAGCGCTGCCCAAGGGAGTCTTAGATTATTAAAATGACCTAAAGGACAGCAGCATCACCCTCAGAGCTGCAGCAGCGGCATCGGGAAGCCAAAAAACTGTCAGAGCCTCTCCTTCAGAGTTAGCCGAGGGTCTTGTCAAAGCCTAGGCCATGATGCAAAAGTACCTCGGCTGGCTAAGGACATGACATCTGCACTAAATTTGGCCAAGCTTGCGACCATGGTCAGTCCAATCTGAGAAGCCAAGAGTGGTGCTGACTACAAAACGCTGAAATGCTTCTACTTCAACCTTTCAACGCCAAAAACCGCAAGATATGGACCCACATCTTTAGAGAATAGGCCAAAAGCAAGGCTAGCTTTTGCCACCCGAAGCACCACCACATACGTAGCAGAAAAGCACAGAGATTGCAAGGCCTTGGCTGCATACTACAAAAGGTGATTTCTGAAAATTTCTTGCTGTATGCTGGGCTGCTTGAGGCTGCCTGCAACGGGATGAAGAAAGCTCAACAATAAAAAACATTCTGAAAACTCTGAGCAGGCTTGTTCATCGAGACGTTGCCATCGCTCATGCAGCATTGTCCAATCCATCTTGCAGACGTACCTCGGAATCTCAAAAGGGGTTCGCAGAAATGCAGCGCAGGAGGCGGCAGCCACGCGGCTGTGTATGCTGGGTCTTTTGAAGCTTCCCACGGACCAGAAGCAATGAGCGACCAGGTGCTGCGACACCGGTCCAAGTCAGGCTGCTTGAAGCAACTGCATTTTCTTGTGGCCTCTGAGGCCGTGGCCTGGCTGCCGTCTCGATGTCCTCCAAGGCTGTGGCCTCTGCTGGAAGGCCTAAGGCATCCACCACCCAGCTGAAGGCAGAGAAGGCCAGGAAGCGCCGACTGCCTAAGAGCCGCACTCGGCAATTCAGCAGAGTCATGCCTAAAATTGGTCAAGTCCAAGTGTTGCTTCAATGGGCGCAGCCGATGGTACGCCGAGGATCTTTGTGTAGGCAGTCAAGTTTGTGCGCCCTGCTTCTAGATGTCGAAGATTGTGCAAACATGAAGTAGACGGCCTTTTTAACTGCTGTTGTAGGCATTTTACTTTACATCCTGCAGCCGATTTGTAACGAAGAAACTGAAGTCAGCAGATCTGGGTGCATCGTCAGCTTCTCTCGGGGTGCTTCAAATATTCATTCATCAGCCGCTTCCGGGGAGAGGAGCTCAGGGGCTTTAAAGCTAGCGAAACAGGATAATGTAGACCCTTGCAACGCATCACAACACATTTGATTGGGAAACCCTCTACCCATCTAGAAACAAGTGATTTTCGGAAACCTTTGAAATGTCGTGAAGGTAGTGCACCTGCTGCATATCCACATACCTTGTCTTCCTTTCTCCGTATATCGACGTTGCTGCGAGCTAGCTCCTTGTCTTTCTTGCTTTCGTCCGGCAAGTCTCGAGAAGGATTTCTAGTCCAAGCCCGAGATCCGGTCATCAGATTATTGCGTTCTCAGGGTCAGAGTTTTGCACCATCCAAGGCTTCCTCCTTTCTCATGGAAAACTACCAGCTGTTGATTTTATGCACTGATCTTTTGGCCGGGCTGCCCAGCGTCGGTTGATATCTGCCATTGAATGTGCAGTGCGGAAGGTAGCATGGTGCACTCTTGTCAAAGAGTTCCGCGATTTTATCTGCGCAGTCTTCGTAGAGGCCCTGTCAGCCAGACTGATTTCAGTACCCACTGCCGCATCCCTGAGCGTAACAAAAAAACTTGCAGCCTTCTTCCAAGCTGTGGCAGGCCATTACATTGATGACTGTGGCTCGCACATTCCCAGCCTTTCCGTACCACGTGGCTCTGAGCGGAGAGGCTCCGAGTGTGGAACTGTTGCCACTGTCACTGCCGCTCTCGTCCTTGGTTCATGGCATGTACTACATGTTGCACGTTGTAGGCAGCTCGAACGAACATGACATGGTCAGTGAACAGTGCAGCGCGATGTACTGCGCAGCTGCTTCAGGCTGGAAATGCTATAGGCCATAGGCATGTATCGGCTAATTCGGCTACTGATGCTGCCATGACTGCAGCAGACTGGCACAGCTGTACAACGCAGGTACTTCTTGACACTTCTTGCGATATAGAGCTGAACACCTTTGGAGTGCTGCGCGGTCACCAAGAAGCCTAGAGCTTACCCATGAAAACCTTCTGGTCAAGCTTCGCCAATAAGCAGCTCGGAGATGTTGCTGCCCCTGGCAAACAGGCTAGTAGCTACTGTCTTTCCCTCCGAATAACCTGAAAGCCCGTCGCACCAGTGCAGAAATTCAGATTAGTAGAAGCAATAGGTTGTGGCCGTAGCAACCTCAATAACAATCGATGGCATGGCAACTACTGTATCTTATCCTGATTCCATCTGATTCCAGTTGCCCAGTTGACCACCAAATCAAGAAGGGAGCCATCCTTGGCATGCATGGATGTTCCAGGATCCTCAGCTCTCAGGTGCCAGTCACTTGCGGAGGAAATTTTCGCGGCCTCCAAGCATCAGCGTAAAAATGCTTCGCAACCAAACAAGATCCGAACAGCAGTAAGCCACTGGCGAATCTCCCAGCTCCACTAGCATTCCATCTTCAACTATCTTGCATGGAATGCTTCTGCTTCCTTCCTGTCTTGCTGGGCTGAAGTCTACCTCCTGATCTGCAGCAATTTGTGAAGCGCTGCTTGTGATTGCAAAGCCCGAGAGCCCGTGCATCATGATTCGTAGCACTCGACGGCAACTCGAAACGAGTCTTTTACTCTTGAACATGCATAGCAAGATCCCTGTTCAATCAACCTGCGTTGAAGAGCAACTCGTTACGCTTCATAAAAAGCACAGGGTCGACGTCGTCTCTGCCACCAATGCTCGTGCTATTAGCTGCCGCTGCAGCAATCGCCTCAACGCACACTTTACACACAGGATAACGCTCCACACCCTCCAAACCTTTTCTGGTCTACTGCCTTTGGATGTTGATGCAATATGGGCATCCGGGCTTCTTCAATTCCAGGGCTGTGGCAGAACAAGTCCGGCGTCACAAAGTCTGAAGGACTTGCTCCGCTTTAAATCAAGCACAAGAAATCCGTTTGCATTGCCTGCTTCGTAGACGCACCCTGTGGGTGTTAGTGGCGAGCGCTACTTGTGTGCTTTCTGGCTGCTGAAATTACTAGCCTCACGTACCACGCAAACCGAAAGAGCGTTTCCGATGACCCAGCCGACCTTGCCCAAGCCCTACTAAACAGCTGGGAGCTGCTGTGCTTCGCGCAAGCCGAACTGAAGGTACGAGGCGGAGTACAAGTTACTCTGCCGACCCTGGCAGGGTGTCAGGATGCGAGGGATTCAGCTGCTCTGCACTCAGTGACGGTGTTACTGTAAAGCCAAGCTAATTAACGGCATTCATCATAAGAATCATAACATGTTGGCGAAGCATGGCGAAGCTTCTGTCATGCGCTGGCAGAACGTCACCTTCAACTTTGCAAGCCCTCCTGTGTTGCTCAAGAATTGGCCTGCAGGTGCACGGGGAAGGAGTGTTGTAGCACTGACCTGTCGTCCTGGACTTGAGCAGTCGTGCAAGCCCTCTACCGCTGCCCACCTTGCAACTTCAGGCTGCAACTGCATTTGCTCGCTATCACGGGCTGCGGATGCTGCACTGCAACTGTGTTCAAATTGCCAGACTGAAGCAACGCAAACTCACTGAGAAACTGCGTCTCTCGGACTGCCAAGTATAGGGATTCGGCCGGCCTCGGGCACAAAGGTTATCTGCATTGATGCGCCGCCAAGGTCGAGGACGCCAAGTGACCCCTTGCTTGCTTCCCTTAGCAGACAACTTCAGCTAGCTCCAAAGCATTCCAAGGCCGATTGTTGCACCATCAAGAAGGTGGGCGCCCATGCCGCACAGGGATTGTTTCGCGTACTTGGGAGCGCGCAGCAGCGGCAATCTGCCGTTTTGCTGTTGCAGGCGCATCGTCTTCTTGCTCGGGTCCGTGGGTCTCCAGGTAAGGGGCCTGGGCCTAGTTCCTGATAAGTGCTCTTCAGAAGGTCACATGTTTCTCTTACCAGGCTTGCTGCAAGCAGAAGGAGCAAAGCTCTTGCGGCCAAAGCATCTCTAACAGCCCCTTCTCTGCATTCACAGCTAGCCAGCCATAGGCTCCTCAGACATGGTCAGGGTGAGCAGGGCCGACCTGCTTGCGCATGCAATCCCCGGAATCTTAGACCGGAGAAGCATTGGAGCGGCAGTCCTTCTTCTTCTCCGCTCAGAATCCTGACGTGGTCAGGCTCTGAATAGAAGGAGCTGTCTGCGAGGATCGCCCTCACATTCTGGAGCATGCCTCGAACAAAGCGCTTGAGCAAATGTCAGTGTGCTGAAAAACTGTGTTGTCACGTCCAGCAACCCTTTGTTACATATAAATGAAACGCCAGATATCACGTACCCTTGACCTTGCACAATTTTCACAGCTTTTGTCGAAAGCCATGTTGCAGTGTCGCAAAAGATCAACAAGGAAAACTTCTAAACTATGCACCCCCGCAGAAAAACGCGTAGTCTTCCCGAATTGCACTTCATCTAGCTTGCTGAGGCCTGAGACAAAAAGCATAGGCCCGCATAGGTGGACACATGCAAGCGGTATGCAATGCATGTAGCGGGCACTTAACACAAGTATGTGGCAAACGGATTCCAGAACAAATAGTTCTAAATTCCCAAACACAAATTTCTGGGTCGAGAAGCACTTCCTGAGGTCCTGGGCTGGTTGCGGGCCTTCTTGCAAGCCATTCCTCTTGGCATTTGCTTAAATCAGCTTGCAGCATTCATCCCTTGTTCGTGCTTACGGTGTGCTCCTCAACTCTTGGGACAGCAGGCCTTGCTGCAAGTTTTGTCCATCACACCACACCCACAGCTACACAAGAAGGCTGGAAGAAGAATTGACAAACTGTAGCTGTGCAATGCGCTGCTGCCTGCCTGTCCAGCACGGCTTGAACTGTATGCTGGAACGTAGCTGAAAATTGCCCAAAGGCCATCCGAGCACCAGTTTCAGGAAATGCAAGACGTACATCGCTATTGCCAGGTGCATCCACTCTCCTTGAGCGGTAGGTTTTCTCAAGTGCAACGAAGCAGCCTTCCCGCTGATCGGGCCGCATTCGCCGAAAGCCAGCTGTTGCAAAAAGATAGACTGGGAACTCGGACCAGTCATCCTGCCACATGGACCCTTACTCTGGTATCATTGCTCCATATATGTTGCAACCTGCAACCTATTCGCTTGATACTCCGAGGCCCTGAAGACATCTAAGGACAGTTTCTCGATTGTCACCAGACAAGATTTGGTGGACATCCGGTGCATCCTTTAGGGATTTAAGTATGGAAGCATAATCTGACCCCAGCGACTTGTGCTGCCTCGCGATCAATCAGAACGCCTTCCGCAAAGCTCAGCAGCTCTTGCAGTGTTTCATTCAGTTTGGCCGTTCCCAGCGTAGCCAATCCACGGTGAACGGTCTGAGAGGCCACAACACTTGGAATTGCGACCTGCGCCCAGTAGAGAAAATCTCACAGTAAACGAAAGAAGCAAGCCCAAGGTTTATCCAAAGGAGCTGGAAAGGGCGCGTTGAAATCGCACTTCAGCACAGGCCAAGCGAAAACCCAGACCCTTGATCCGCTGGAGCCAGCATCAATGATGATGCCATGGTAACCTGGCAGGCGCACTCTGTCGTGCATCAAACTTGCGACTGTGGCGGTGTATAGCATGCCTTCCACAAGTACTGTTGCTGCTACACCTTTTTGGTTGAGAATGCTTTGCACACCGACGTCCGACAAAAAAAGCTTGGTCTCTCACCAGCTTGTTGCAAGCTGAGCACTTCTTCTTATTAGCCCAGCGTTTCTTTTTGCAGCCGCTTGGAGAATGAGCTGATCACCGAAAATGCAAAGGAAACCAAGCAATGCCCAAGTTGCTTGGCTCCGTGATGTTCACTTCTGAGATGTTGGCACCAAGCGCTAAGGAAAAGAGGAGGACCTCAGCTGCTGGTGTTTCAGCTCTAGGGACCTGCGCCTGTCTGCAGCATGGTTCGCAGATTTCCCAGCCTGAGGCCTACATCATGATGCCAGTCAGCCTAGTCATCTGATCTGGCTGCCGCTACCGTCAGCTCGAATCTGCAAGTTTGTGCCTAAACCAAATTCGCACCCGGCCAAGGTCATCCAAGGTCGACAATGTAAGGCGGCAATATATTCTTGGGGGCGTGGCATGAGTTGAGGCGAAAGGCATGACCAAAGCTCGTATGCGAATCAACTTTGGGTCCTTGTTCTTGACAAGCCTTTCGCTGGCACGTGACCAGCTTTGGAGGCGTCAGCCCAGGACAAACAATGAGACAAGAAGATCTGGACCCACAACTGCTAAAAATGGATCCGAAACAGGCCAGCTAGCGACAGGACTGAGGCTGCAAAGTGCAGAAATTTGAGTCGAGATGCGCACAGTCCAGGGCGAAGGCAATTCCAACATCGCGGCAGGCTGGCCATAGCTCCAGCTTCTATGCTATGCTCCGACGTACTGGTGGACTCGTGCTTTTTGTATTCCATGTTTGAGTTTTGGAGTGCCGAACAGACGTGACAGAGGTCTGATTCGTTTTTGGCTGGAAAACGCTGAAAACCTCTGAGATCTTTCGCCAGAATCATCACATCTTTTTCCTTGGCCAGCTCTTGTGCTTGCTTTGCACTGTTGCAATCCAGATCTCTGCTGCAAACCAAGCCCGAGCATTGGACACTCGCCAACGTCAGGAAAGCTCGAAGCATCTGGTGCTAACATCCCACGCTGTGCTGACATAACACTGATTCAATCCAGCTTTCTGAAAGAATCCTACTCAAATTCGCATTCGTGTACCATGGTCACCATGTGCTTACCTCTCTCTTGCTGTTTACTTCTTCTGCTTGCACTCCCTGTAATTTGCTCCTGGGAGTTGAGTAATTGAAATGGCAGAAAAAGCTTGGCTGAGACAAGATGAAGTGAAGCCACTGCTGCTTCCTATCATAACGTTGCCGCCTCTCGCTCAGCGTGGCTGTCCTCCAATTGCAGCATGTCGGCAGTCTGATTTCAAGTCAGAACCGAAGCATGCGCTGATAGCTTATTTGCTGCTTGCCTTATAGAACTGCGCTGCTTCTTTGAAGATATTTCGAGCCTCTTTCCAAATTTATGATGTTTGGCTCAACCTTCCCACCCTCTCCTCGTCATCGCTGCTGCCAGACTGGGAGCTGGAGGACGAAGACGGCTTTGCCGAAGGCCTTGGGGCCAGATTACTAGGAGGTGAACAGAGCTGCCGATTCATGACGTTCTGGATTTGCTAGCTTGACGGGCCACTACACATCATCCCACGCAGAATTTACCAAACGAGAAAACTCTGCCTGGCCAGCCCCCCTCCACCCCATGCGTCCCCATGCCGAGGCGGAAGCACTCCTTTGTTTACAAGCGTTTACAGTCAGAAGTGCGAGAATGGATTACATTTCCTTGAGCAACCACGTTGTCACATATGACGACTTGCTCAGTCCATCCCGCTTTGCGTTGCAATGAGTTGAGCATTCACATGGCCAAGCTTGAGTGGGTGCGCTGTCAGCAATCAAGGGTTGAGTCCCGCTGTGCAATGAAAGGGGCAGTCACCTGCGGCAAGTCAATCAAAAAACAGGTACGGGGAAAAATCGCTACTCACATCTTCGTAGATCTTAGTCTAATGCATTGCGAGATTCAGGGGCTCTAGAAAGGCAGATGGAAGCTTCTGGAGACCATTTACATCATTTCCCACGGTCTCTCTCTTCCCTTGGGAAAGCTGTGAGGAAAGCCGAACACGAGGCTTGTGAAGGAAAAGACAAACCATAACGAGCGAGAAGCACAAATTTCTGAAGCCTGTGAAAGCAAGGGCATTCGAGGCAAGGCCAGGAACAAAAAACACAAGTCACCATCCTTGGCCAAAGCCTGCTGTTATTGCAGCCGTATAAAGACACAGGCCGCCAACAAGAAAGTGGTACAGCGACACAGCAGCCCTGGCGATACCCACTTCTGGCGATGCAATGAATTCCCGCTGCTGCGACGTGTCAAAAGATGGCTGGCAAAATGCTGCTTTGCCACCCGGCTGCATTTTGGGCCAAATGCAATCGTGCAGCGAAGCATCTTTGTCGACCTCGGCACCATGTCCACCAGGCTTCTCCAGGCCTTGGCACTGGTGCAGAGAACTCAATAGCAACTCTTCAGTTCACTCGCAAGGAATTCGCCACCAACAAAAACAGTTCCATGGAAAGCCAGCCTGCTCTCAGCTTTGCCCCCAACATACACTACATGCCATGGGGCCACAGGATTTGCAATTGGCACTCCACGGACAACTGAAACCTCCCACTATTATGGTCCATGCCCCTGAGAGCTGCACCAGGTGTTTCCGGAACACTGCTCGGAAGCGACATGCCGGTGGGAGCGGGTGGGCTGCCAGATCGGCATCAGTTTACCGAGGGCGCAGGAGTGTTTTGAAAGGCTGAGGGTTGCAGGCTAGAGGCCAGGCAGGCCGCGTGTCCAATCTTGTTAGCTAGGCTGCTCGGATGGCAGGCTTGAAGCCAGGGACAATCTCAACGCCCATGAAGGCAAACGGTGTTGGGGGATGCTCTAGAGATCTGACCATGCAAAGCAGATAGCTTCAGCAAATGCTTTCAGGCTACAAGCCCTGCCGTCACTGCTGAGAAGTACTTGCAACATGTCCGTGGTTGATTGATTGATTGATTGGTGACCCAACGTGGTTTGAGCCAGTGGCTGTTCTGTTGACATGCCAGGCACAGAAGGCGGGCAGCCAGAGTCCAGATGCAATCCCGTCAAAGCACATGCAGACACCCCTGGTGTTTTCTGTACGCAAAAGAGGCATTCCACGACATGCAATGCTGAAAGTTCCCAAGACAGAAAACTCCTGCATAGAGCAGGCGCGGTATGCAGAAAATGCGCTGGTGCGTGCTCATGGTCGCTACGGTCCGTGCAGCGGGTAAGCGAACAAAGGTTCTTTTGGCTGATGTCCCACAAACAACTTCTTGCAGCGCGAGCCCGGGCTGGAGGTGTTCAGCATCTGCTGCCATGCTGTCCACGCCTCAGGCACCTTGTGAAGCGACGACTTCTTCGGTCAGCCACTCGCGCAAGAAGGTGGCAGCTCCCGCAGTCTCTCTGAAACATTACGCCATCACGCTTTGCTAACTGCACCTTGAAACCACAAGCACTGATTCCTGTAGTTCTTGGTTGTATCTCCATGATGAACACCCTCAGATGTGCTCCTCTCGGCTTTGTTGAAAGGCTCTTCGTGGATTTCCAGTCCGCAGCCCCGTTTCTGCGTGGTCTCGTCAGGGCTTTGGCATGGCCCAGTCACGCTGCTGTAGAGCAAGTCTCACCCAAGAATGGCCCATCAACTAACAGCATTGCAGCAGCCATCCTCTGTGAATACATAGTCAAAGCAAGGCGCACCTGAGTTGACACAGCTGCGTCCTGTAAAAACACAATCCCAAACAAGATGATACAACATGCTGCGTTGCGGCGGGTCTGCGACATGCTTGCAAGCAAGATTCGAAAGCGGAGTGGGATAGTTCGGTCGCAACAATAGCGACCTTGGAACAATCTAAGCATGCCAGCAATTTTTGGCCCCTTAGGAGAGAGGCTTTACATGTGCTGCGCACAGGGCGTGAGACAACTATCGCCAATGTTGCGGCTATTACTGGCCTCAGGGCTGGACAAGACGAAAACCTGGGCCAAGTTTGTGGTCAGCAAACAATTCCACAGGTAGCAGCTGCAGATGCCTCCAGATTCATGTCACTGACCAGTGTCATTCAAGAAGCGGCTGCTCCTTGTGCACGAACTGGTTTTGCTCGCCTCGCTCTTGCCAAGCATTTCCTCAAATCACAAGTAGAGCAATGTGTGCTTGATCTGAAGTCTGTAACTTGTTCAAGCTGAAGTCAGCGGAGCAATCTGGTGGGAGCTCGGAACCCCTTTAATAGTGCTGACTTTTCATATGAATGGCAGATTTTCCCAGGACAAGCAGATGTTAGCAGGATCTTTTTCTGATGAAAAAGAATCAAGATTGGCAGATCAAATTGGCAAGCTGAGCCCCACTTGATCCCACTTGCTCGCATGGCTTGCAGGAGACAAGTGCCTAAGCAAAGTCGTGAAATCAAACTGGCCAACCTTTTTATGCACGGGAATGCTGTCAGGCATTGCTCTGCACTGCAGCACGCAAGACTGCAATGGATTCAGTCTAATCCGTGGCCAACATCACTAAACTGATATGTTGCAGTCCTTCGTGCAAAAGGAATATAGATCCGCAGCAACAGTCGCAAAAATCAGGTGCCCAACTTCAAAAGCACCTAATTGTAACTGCGGAGCAGGTGCAAGGGTCTCTAAGAAGCCCTGACACCTCTAAAATGCCATCGCCGCATCACTAGAACTGGTCCTTGACAGCCTTTACCGGGAAGGCCTTGAAGTGATGATGATGATGATGATGATGATGATAAGTACAAGTAGCACCGAACCTAATCGAGCCTCCCGCTGCTAATTATCATTGTGCTGGTCATGAAAGCCCCAAAGAAGATCGCTTCAGGAAGCCAAGAACTGGCCCAGCTCTTTTGGTTTTTTCTACTGCCTGGCCTTGACCACGGTCTTGGCAGGCTGCGCTTTCACCTTCACCTCTTTACCTGAGCAGCTCAAGAACTATCCCAGAAGTGCACAGCATAGTCGGCCAGTTCAAGAGCGAGACGGCACATACCAGGAAATACAAAAAACACAAGCAATGCTGAACAGACAAATTGCCAAACATCATTTTCTTGCCAGCCTTTGTTGCTTTCTTCTTGCGGGTCTTGATCATGACCAATCCGGGAAGGGTGAACTTGCCCGCCTTCTTCAGTTCTGCAGCGCCAATGTCCGCAAGGGAGTCCAACACCTTCATAACGTCGCTCTTCTTCAAGCCCGCACCGTCGGCCAACTGGCTTGCAATTTCACTCTTTGGAGCTGCACGG